CGGTGGGGCGGGGGGGCCCGGCCTCTCTGCTGCCGAGGGCTGGGCCCCACCTCGTAGCCCGCCGCCCGTGGTGAGCTCACGGGGCCCCCCACCTGCCCTGGGTGCTGCCGGCAGCCGGGCTCTCCACACGGACTCGCCCTGAACCAGCGCCCTCCTTCCCCGTGTTTTATACAGACGGACCGGAGCCGCCACCTTCCTCCCCCGCTGGCCAGGGGCCCCACACAAACTAACCTAGGTGCCCTGCAGAACAGCCCAGCTCCGGAGCGGGCCCACATGAACCAGGGGCCTGGCCTTGACTGAGCTCTGAGAAGGGCCTGTGTTTGCCTCCAAGCTCCCAGGGGCTGTGGATGGACTGATGGGACACCCGGCCTCCCACCTGTTTGTTTAACTTATTTCTGTGCTTTATAATAAAGGAGACACTAACGGCGCCAGTCTGTGCTGCGCTGGCAAGCACAGTCTGGCCCGCCCTCCGCAGAGCAGCCTGGCAAGCCACGCAGGGGCAGTGAAAGGCAGCCAGAGGTAGGCAGCAGTCAGGCTGAGTTTAATGGTGGGGAGCCGGTCCAGGCATACACAGACCTCTGCCCATCCCCTGGGCCCGAGCCCGTGGCGCCAGAAGCTGCCCTGGGGCTGTGGTTCCTCCCAAGGCAGGTAGCCATGGTCCCTTGGGCTTTGTGCAAAATACTAAATGCTGATTTGGCATCAAGGGCCAGCTCTGAAGAAAGAGGGGATGATCTTTTGTGCAGCCAGCCCAGGAGAAGGGAGTTAGGAGGCCCTGGCTGAGAGGAAAAAGGGGAAGGCAGGAAGGGGAAGGAAGAGACCCTCCGGCTTGGGGTCACAGGCACAGGGCGAGTTTCTGTGAATCCTCTAGTGCAGAGGGCGGACTTCCAGGCTGTGGAGGCTTACAGGTCCTCATCGCCAATGCCCTCGAAGGCAAAATTGCCGTGGACAGCACTGGCGCTGGCATCCGTGCTGGGACTGCCAATTCCCCGCAAGCTCACAGCACTCAGCTTGCTCTGAAACAGAGGCAGGGTGGGGTCAAGCTCGAGCCCGCGTGGTCCCCACGTGCCCCTACCTCACCATCCCCCACACTCACTGAGAGTTTGACCACAGACTCCCGGTTGGCATCAGGTGACTCCTGGGGAAGCGGAGACAGAGGCGTCAGAGCCTGGTGGGGGGAGGGGCAGCCTGGGGATACTCAAGCTGAGGGGGAGCTGGCCTGGGGATACTCACAAGCAGTGGCGGGGACTTCACTGCCTGCTGGCTGTCGGAGCGTCGCAGGGGGCCCCCCACCCGCCGGCGCAGCATCTGGGGACAGACACGAGGTACGGTGAGGGCCAGACCCTGTCCCGTCCCACAAGGAGCCCACCCCAGGACAAAGGGGGGGGCACGGCTGCTCTGCCCACCTTCCTGATGCTGCCGCCCGACTTCTTCACCATCAGCTCGTCCACCATGGACTGCAGGCAGATGCTCATCATGATGGCCTGCGGGAGGGGTATACTCAGCCCCAGTGGCCAGCCCAGCCCCGTGCATGGAGCCCTGGAGGCCCCCGACTCAGGCACCTCCGGGGCTCCAGGGGACTGAGAGTGGGCACGCACCTGGGGGCTGGTGATGGTGACCCACTGCAGCCGGTCCTTGCTCATGAGGTATTCAAAGGCTAGCTCCAGGCGCACCTCGCCTCGGCCCCGGCCCGGGCTACTTGCGCCTCCATTGGGCAGTGGCACCTAGGAGAGGAAGGAGAAGCAGGCTGAACTCACCTGGACCCGTGGCGGCCCGTTTCTGAAGCTTGGGGCTCACCAGGCCTCCCGTCCAGCCCAACTCACGGAGGAGGTGACCCGCCAGCATCGCATGCGGGTGACCCGGAAGGAGCCTTCCCGGAGCTGCTGGCCAGGCAGGCGGAGCTGCAGGCTGAGCTCACTGTTGCCTGCGCTCACCACCACAGGGCAGTCCTTCTCTGGGAAGTCAGCCACACAGGCATCGAAGCGCAGGTAGCCGTAGTGCCGCAGTGTCTGAGCCAACCTCAGGAACTGAAAGATGATTGCCATGTGGGGTGGACTAGGAGGGGGAACAGGCAGCTCTGAAAAAGCAAGCCCTTGTGGGGGAGACAGCAGGGCTCACCTCCTTCTTGGAGACCTTCTCTTGCAGAGACTTCAGCTGCCGGTGCTGTTCCTTGGTGACCAAGATCCACCCGTGCTCAATATCTGATACTGTCTACGGTGGAGACAGCATTGGGGGAGGGGGTCCCAATCAGTCTGAGGAATGTGTCTGTGGTTACCTTGTTCTTAGCCCCATGCCTGAGTGGCCTCTGCAGGAAGTTCTTTTTTTTTTTTTTTTGAGTTGGAATCTCACTCTGTCACCCAGACAGGAGTGCAGTGGCCGCTTCTGGCCACCGCAGCCTCAACCTGCTGGGCTCTGGCAATCCTTCCGCCTCAGCCTTCCAAGTAGCTGGAACTACAGGCGCGTGCTACCACGCCCGGCTCATTTTGATTTATTGTAGAGATGAGGTCTCGCCAAGTTGCCCAGGCGGGTCTTGAACCCGCGGGCTCCCAAAGGCGTGGGATTACAGGATGAGCCACTGAGCCTGAGGGAGTTCTTAATCTTAGCAGCTTTAGAAAGGCAGCCCTGACAGTGTTTTAGGAACTCTTCTGTGGCTGGGAACCAGAGTGTGAAGCGAGAGTGGGACACCGGCAGCTCCAAGCTCACCTGAGCATAAAGCAGGTTCAGGCCAACCCGGTTCTCCATGACGTCGTCATCATAGGCAGAGTCCCAGTAACTGTGGGAGCAAGGGGTGGAAGGATAATAGGGCTGAGCTGGGGTGAGGCAAGAGGCAGAACAGAAAATGGCCCAACGGGAGCAGTCTGGGGCGATGGTGGGCTCGGCAGGGTGCCTGGAGGCCCGGTGAAAGCTCAGCACCGTGCCCCCATGTCCAGGTCATTCTCTCAGCATGTGCCCCAATGATCCCATACAGTACCCGCCCTCTGCAGGCTAGCTCTGACCTCTTCCTCAGCACAATCTTGTACTCTTGACTCCGAAGGCTGGTGACAGAAACATAAGGCAGCTCAAACTCTTGCAACTTCCGTACAACTACGGGTTGAAAAGAAAGAAGATGCCATAAGACCCAAAACAAGGGAAATCAAGGAAGAGTGCTTTGAGGAAATGCTCTGTCTTGGGGGAAGCAGCCAAGGCCAGAGAAACTCACAAGAAAAGGCTCCATCCTCTTTTACTCGGACCAAGAATAAACTGAAGTATCCAATCAAGTCATCCGGAAGATCCAGTTTTGCGGCCACGGCCTGGAGACAGGACAGCAGCACACCTCGTCACCCACGGGACAGTTCCCGTCACACCGAGCCCAGGAGGAGAGTGCAGGGGATGAGGGGCATTGTGGGCAAGCACCTCACCTCCAGGACATCCTCCGTCTGGTCTGAAGTGAGCACGTTGACCAGAACTTTCTGCCCGCTGCTGAGCAGCACTTCCAAGGAGACCTCCTCTGTGGGTACCTGCTGTGTCTCCTGTGCCGTGGAGGAGAGAGGGGATGGAGGTGCTGCCTGTCAACACCCAACGTGCTCTCACTCTGCTTCCAGATCCCTCTAGTGCCTTTTTTCTCAACTGCTTAAATACAGGCTGGGATTTCCTCGAGTCTGTCAGTATAGCAGAATTCCATGCCGTTAGAAAAGTAAAAAGGTGGCTGGGCACGGTGGCTCACACCTGCAATCCCAGCACTCTGGGAGGCCAAAGAGAGATGATTGTTTGAGCCCAGGGGTTCGAAACCAGCCTGAGCAACCTGGTGAGATCTCATCTGTACAGTAAATCATAAAATTAGTCGGGTGTGGTGACACACGCCTGTAGTTTCAGCTACTTGGAAGGCTGAAGCGGAAGGATCACCTGAGCCCAGCAGGTTGAGGCTGTGGTGGCTGTGAGCGTGCCACTGCACTCCAGCCCGGGTGACAGAGTGAGACTCCGACTCAAAAAAAACCAAAAAAAGTAAAAAGGTGCCAGGACGACTCCTCTGGAGCCAACCACTGAGGTCACGTGGTCTTCCAGCAAGGTCCTATCCTGGCCCCTCCCAAGCCCTACCTGTTGTGCCCGGCGCAGGAAGCTGTTGAAGGTCTCGCTGCTCCCAAGCAATGGGTCTTGCCGGACTGTGTGACAAAAGGGTCATGTCAGAGACCTGGCGCTCTCTCTTGGCTCCGAGGCCTCTTCTCAGTAGGCCCTGACTCCCTTTTGGGCTGCGGGCCAGCCACATCCCCCAGCTGGCCTCACCTCACTCACTGTTGGCATAAACCCTCACCTGCCCCACCCCTGGCTGCCATCTAGGCGAGTCGTCTACAGAACCAGGAAAATAACAGTGATGTTAATCTAAGCACATCAGAAACAGATTAGTTTCTCCCCACCAGTCTAAACTAAGACTCCTCAGCGTTACATCAGCATCTCTTGTAGGTGTTTGTATCTAAGTTGCTTTGCTAGTATACGGTTACACATCTTTGTAGACCATTTACTTTGCTAATTAAAAAACAGAAAGGCTTCCCAGGTCCAGAACTTAGCCAGGACCTTCCACGAGCCAGCAGCCTGCAAGTTCTCCCCACACCTCAGCACAGGGGCCTCAGTTTTCTTCCAGCCACTCACCAGCTTGCATGTACTTCTCTAACTGCTCACGCCTCTGCTCTACCTCAGCAGGTGTCAGGGAGAAGAGCTTCTTTGGGGGGAATGCAGGAAGCACGTTGGCCCCATACTCCTTCCGAAGCTATGTGGGGAGAGAAAGAGAGAGCCCTTCACACAAACGCGGAAGGCAAGTATGGTACCATCCACTCACACATCCTCCTGGGCATCCCTTCGCTTCCCTCAGCCCCCGCTCCCGTCTCCCGGGGTTCTCTGAGAAGCAATTCCCCGTGGAGGGAGCGCTCAAGGGAGCTGCGCCAGATCTGAGTTCCTCTCCACCTTACTGTGCACCGGCCAGGCCCTCCACAGGATGGGCAGGATTGGGATGGGTTCAGGACCTCCAGGGAGCCACTGCCCAGCAAGGCTGGAAGCCAGGGGCTTCATACCGTGCTCAGTTAAGTGAGAGCTAACTGCGTTCCCAAGGGGTCCCAGAGCTTAAAGGTCTCTGCAGATCAAGGGATCCGTTTTCCAGTAGCAGAAACTGAGGTCCAAAGAAATCAGGTAGCTCGCTCAGGGATGCACAGCTAATTATCCACTGAGTTAATCACAGCGTTCACAGTCTGGCACGGAGGGCAGAGACGTCGCGCCACGGGACACAGCGATCCCCGAGCGGCCAACCCCGCCGACAGGGCGACTGGTTTGGATAAGCGGGGAGAGGGTCTCGGCTGCGCCTCGGGCGGGCCAGGGGCTTGGGCCGCGTGCGACGAGACGGGACGGGCTAGGGCCGCGGGCGCGCCAGGCGA